CGGGATCGGTGGGAGGTTAAAGACATTATTGGATTCTTTGTTAACATGCAGTGCCTTCGGATCACAATTCATGACGAGAGTTTTGAAGACCTAGTTCAACAGGTCCATGCTGTGGCGGTTGCATCGCTTACTAACCAGGACGTGCCGTTCGAGAGCATTGTCTCGCAACTGAAGCCTGACCGAGACCTGTCTCGTCACCCGCTAGTGCAGATTGTCTTTGCTGTGCACTCGCAGCGAAACCTGGGACAACTAATGCTGGAAGGTGTGGAAACAGAGGCCGTGCATAGCGCAGCAACCTCAAGGTTCGACCTTGAGTTTCACTTCTTTCAAGAGCCCAACGGCCTACAGGGCAACGTCTTCTTCTCAACAGATCTCTATGCGCCCGAGACAATCGACAACATGCTGTTACTCTTCCACAACATCCTCCAAGAGTCCCTAAAAGAGCCAAAGGCGGCAGTTGCATCCTTGCCACTGTTAACTAAGGCCCAATATTGTAGGCTTAACAGTATAGGGCTTGTTCAGATTGAGCAAACAAACTACCCGCGCGAGTCGAGCATCGTCGATCTGTTCCGCCAGCAAGTTTCTGCACATCCAGCCAGGATCGCCGTCATAGACTCTTCCGCGGAGATGAGCTATACTGAGCTGGATAGGGCATCAGATATCCTTGCTCGATGGCTGGTACGGCGCTCGTTCACGCCTGAGAGTCTAGTCGGCGTGCTCGCAAGCCGAAGCTGCCAGACCATCGTCGCTTTCCTTGGCATTCTGAAGGCTAACCTGGCGTACCTACCGTTCGATGTTAAAATACCAGGGAAGCGCATGGAAGCTATCCTTTCGTCCCTTCCAGGCCAGAGGATCATCTTGCTTGGATCTGATGTCCAGCCTCCGGAGGTCAAGCTCAGCAGCGTCGAGTTCGTCCGCATTACTGAAGTCCTGAACGATCAAGCTAAGGATGGGATTGCAGGGTGTAAATCTGCCATGGCGGCCCGCCCGTCAGCTAAAAGCCTTGCATATGTCATGTTCACCTCCGGATCGACGGGCCAGCCTAAGGGGGTCATGATAGAGCATCGCGGCATTGTGCGCCTGGTCAGAGACAACAACCTCGTGCAGCACTTACCAGCATCGCGAGTCATGGCGCACATGGCGAACCTTGCCTTTGACGGTTCCACGTGGGAGATATACGCCTGTCTCTTGAACGGCGGAACACTCGTCTGCATTGACGCAATGGTGGTATTAGACCCGGAAGCTCTACTACAAGCGTTCCGCCAACACGATGTCCAAACAGCCTTCATGACCACGGCACTGTTCAAAAATCATGCCCTGGGGTCGCCTGTGGTACTTGACACGCTTACCATGATTTGCGTGGGAGGGGAGCCACTGCACCCACGAGACTTCCTCTCGATACAGAGCTCAGTGAGCAGTAAGATCATCAATGGCTACGGTCCCACTGAGAATACAACCTTCACCACATCCTTCGTTCTGCACAAGGAGGAGCACTTCGCTAATGGTGTGCCTATCGGCCGCGCGCTGAGCAACTCGGGCGCCCACGTCATGGATCCGAATCTACAACTCGTGCCACTCGGAGTCATCGGAGAGCTCGTGGTCACGGGTGACGGTCTGGCACGAGGATACACTGATCCCCAGCGAGACATCAATAGGTTTGTTACCGTCACAGTTGCTGGCCAGACGGTGAGAGCCTATCGAACAGGTGACTACGTCCGCCATCGCCCTACGGACGGTTTGTTGGAGTTCTTTGGCCGGATGGACGGACAGATCAAGATCCGGGGAAACCGTGTTGAGCTAGGAGAGATTGAGCACGTTCTCCGAAGCCACGACTCTGTAATCGATGCAGTGACTGTGCTGCAACAGCATGATGATGACGGGGTCCGGCTCATGAGCTTTGTCACCATTCATGAAGGTGATGTCCTGGCCGATGAGCAGGCTGGTGCTGGCCACGAATCGCAGCACGTCGACACATGGGAGGAGCAGTTCGATGCCGAGATCTACTCTCCAATTCACAACGTTCAAACCGAAATTATTGGATGCGACTTCATCGGATGGACGTCTATGTACGACGGTACAGATATCGACAAGACGGAGATGAACGAGTGGCTAGACGACACCATCGCTACGCTGCTCAACGGTCAGGACCCTGGGCACGTTCTAGAGATTGGATCAGGCACCGGCATGGTCCTCTTCAATGTGTGCAAGGGCCTGCAGAGCTATGTCGGCCTTGAGCCATCTCAAAAGGCAGTCGACTTCATCACGACAACCGTTAAGTCCATGCCTGCACTCAGAGGAAAGGTACACATGTATAAAGCCACAGCGGCGGACATTGGCCAACTAAAACAGCCAATCGCTGCCAATCTTGTCGTCATGAACTCGGTTGTGCAGTACTTCCCCAGCCAAGACTATCTTTTCAAGCTTATCCAAGACCTGCTTGCGCTTGAAGGCGTACGTACCCTCTTCTTTGGCGACATCCGGTCGTACGCGCTGTACCGCGAGTTTCTAGCCACCCGAGCGCTACGCATGGCCGGCGATAAGGCCACAAAGGCTGACATTCTACGCATGATGGCCGACATGGAGCGAGTCGAGCGGGAGCTGCTGGTTGACCCAGCTTTTTTCACCGCCCTGCCAAGTCGCCTACCAG